CAATAAAATCAGGTCTTCTTTTCTAAAATCTAGAGGAAACATCAAACAAGATACACATCTATGAGACCTTTAGCTAAATTAGCCTAAAATACGGCTGTTTGTCAAAAGATGATTTTTCTCCCACTCTCTCTCCACCTCAATTTGCATGGCTTTTAAAAATATTCTGAGCTGATGCAGGCAATTTCTTTGAATGTTCATCACCAGCTGTATGGAATGCATTCGTCATTATTCAAGTGCTGCTGAGGCAAGTGAAGGCTCTTCATACACACAGCTGAGCACAAAGGATGATGACTACAGCCTTTTCTCTGTTGTGAAGGGTAAAAGGATATTCTACATCTGAAAGTGGCTAGCCTGGGAAACCAGGAGCCTTCCTTACATTAAGAGTAATAACTGGGAAAGAGGTTGCTTTTTTAAAAGTGTTCTCTGCTAGTACCAAAAGCTACCAGAAAAAAAAAATGTGGATGAAAATAGCTAGTTTTGTTTATTTATAATATTTTCAGCAATTACTGACTTTGTAATATCTTTTATTTCTGTATCGAGGAGGTTGTTTTTGTTTTATTCATATGAATGACATGCCCATTAGTCTATCATTGGTGTGATTTCTTTTTCAGCTTAGAATTAAAGTACAAATCAAATATGCTTCAGTTATGAACTCCAGGAAGATTACATTTAAAAATTATTCTTTTGCATTTATTAAGATAGCAGTTGCCGTGTTTCTTAGAAATGTTTAAGATATCATTTGCCTCCACTCACTGATAACAGCAATAGTAATGCAATTTAAATTACTAATAAGATCACGAAAATGCAGGTATTATGTTTGCATAATCTCTAATATAATTGTAAATGTGAAATATTGCAGGATTGTACACATTATTTTGAGTCAAATTTCTACCTTGAAATCTCCAATTAAATGAATTCTAAATGAAGACGCAGATACTTAAGATATTAAAACAATGCACATTTTAATAGAAATTAAATATAAATTTCCCAACAGGACTTTGGGAACTTTAGTTGTCATGGTCAGGTTTGAACTGGACAGAGTTTTATTGAACAACTAATACTTCTAGCACTAGCATGATTCAGTGCTTTCATTGTTTATTTCACTTATTTAACACATCTCTATTGAGCACCTACATGGTCTAGATATTCTACCAGACAACTCAGGGAGCTCACAATCAAGTGGAAACACCAGATACCAACAAATCATTATAAAGCACGTGCCCAGTGCACTGAAAAGTGTACATACAAGTGGGAGAGTATAAAGGAGGGCCCACCCAACACGCTTGTAAAGGAGGGAGCCTGGAAAGTCTCCTGGAAGAGGAGATGCCCAGTGTGAAGAGGAGTTCAGTGAGAGGTAAAGGTCATGGATTGTGCAGGGTAGGGGAATGGTTGGGAGGGATGATGTTTCAGACAAAGGAAATCATATGAAGAAAGTTATAAAAGCAAAAAACAACACTGCGTTTATTCACTACAAGCAGTTTAGTCTACAAGCAGTTTAGTGCCCCAGAGGCAGCATACTCAGATTACCAGGGCTAGAATCCTGGCTCTGCTATTTGCTAATTCTGTGTCCTTCTATATATCAATTAACCTCTCTGTGCCTCTATTTCTTCAATTGTAAAGTGAGGATAATAATAATACATACTTCATAGTATTGCTTTGAAAATCAACGTTACTCTATGTGAAGCACTTAGAATTGTGCCTGGCACATAGTAAGAGTGCTATCCTAGCTAGCTCTTTTTATTACATAATGAGTGACAGAGAGTATAAAGTAATCAGGGTGGATGATCGGGCAATAGTCACATCCTGGATGTTTTGTCTGCCAGAACAACAAGCTTGGGCTTCACGTTATGTGTAATAAGGAGTTAAGAAAAGAATGTAAGTAGGGAAATTACATGAGAAAGTTTGTGTTTTGCTACATTACTCTGGTTTTGTAGAGATATAACAGAAGGGAATGAAATGGAGACAGACCAATCAATAGGCTGCTGCATTAATGGAGGCCTGAATTACGGTAATGATAGCAGGGCTGGACAGGAAAAGTGATTAAATAAATATTTAAGAGGTTAAATATGCAGAACTTTATCGATTGGGTATGAGGGATTATAAAGAAGGAAAAATTGGGCTTTGGTTACAAAGGCATAAAAAAATTAATTCAAAAATTTAAGTAAGGTTAATGACAAAATAATAATACCCTATGTGTTGACAGATGAATATATTTAAGGAAATAAACTGATTCACTTGTTTGTTACAACCCAGAGACAAGGTTAATAAGATTGCTATAGCCTACCTAAGAAAGACATATTTTATTAACATTTCAAATCCATCTTAATTGGTAATACTTTTGCAGGTTTTCATTAATCATAGCTATCCTAGTAATAGGTCAAAGATTCTGTACCTATTCATAATCCCAAATATGTGTCTGACATCCTTCCTAATAACGACTGATTGTATAAAATGGTTGATTTGTTTCATTGATGTTATTGCTTTGTGTCATTTCACATTGCAATCCCTCTTTCATTATTGATTTATAATCTCAGATCACTGTGTTTACTTGCCTATTGAACTCCAAAAATCTTTTCAGACGATGATTTCCCATTTGGCTTGTATCAGATAATTTACACTGTGTTTCCATGAACAGATGTACATGCAGATTTTTTTATGCATATTTTGAGTTTAATAACATAGTGAGTCACTTTGAAAAATCCATGTAGTTTTTTCTTCTGTTATCTAAAATTATTTGGCTTATTTGAAAAAGAAAATCTCATGGATCTCCATATTTCAGTTAATTCAGCAGTTCCATCATCAAGCACAGGTGAAATACTCGGCCCAACAGAGGCCTCCAGGAGTTGGCCATAACAATATAGCCATTGTAATTGGCCATTGCCAGTGCCATTTTGGTTGTTAAATGTTTTTAATATCATGCTAGCTTGTACTCATGGCTCAGAATCTTCTCCAAAGAAGAATTTTGTTTTAGCAAGCAGAGGTTTATCTTAACCAGTTGTTTTATTGGATTCTTTATGCAATAATCTTTTTCTAATCTTCACAGTTTTTTATTCATAAGTAAACTGTTGTTATTACTAAAAACACTGAGCCCTGTTTGACAACTGAATAAGGTGAGTGAAATTTCCCTTTTTAGGGAAATAAATTTTTATCTCATAAATTTCTTCAGAGAATCAAATGCTTCTGCAATACAAAAACATTTGTAGGTATAGATTCCCTGATGGCTGCAAGCATTATTTAAGAAAGGCTTAGAAAATTGACATTATTGAGTACACATATAACTATATTGGTTTTAATATCTGATATTTTGTAGTTTCCATAAATACTGGCTGGCCCTTTGTTACATCTCACTGGAGCCGGTAAAAAAATAAAATAATTTTAATAAAGAATATCAATGCTCCCTTCTCATATAGGTCTCTTCTTTCCTTCTCAGTAGTATAACTTTTCTCAAAATAAAGAGTTTCTTACAGTCTTCCACTTAGAAAATCTGTAATATTATCCTTTGTATTAGTTACTGTGGTATTTTAAATGTTTCTTATATCCTGCAGGTATTCTTGGCGTCATCAACTAAGGGAATTTAAAAGTGAATATCGAGTTGTAGCGCTAGATTTGAGAGGTTATGGAGAAACAGATGCTCCCTTTCATCGAGAGAATTATAAACTGGACTGTCTAATTACAGATATAAAAGATATTTTAGATTCTTTAGGTAAGTTACTGAGAAAACAATACTAATTCTTTTTAAGAGATTAACATTCAACAAATTGTGAACAGATAACCTCACTTCATGGGAAGATGCATTGTCCACCTACCTGAGTTGTTATCTGGGTCCTGTCCCCATGGTTTCAGGTATACAGCCCAAAATATATATACAGGGAATTAAAAATAATATATCCTACAAAACTATTAAGCCAACCAGCCAAGAATGACTTTCAAAATTTGTTTTTAAAAATAGACCTAATGTTACTATTTATTACTTTCAGAACTGATTATTAGAAATTTGAGTCTTATGCTCAGAAAATTTGTCTTCAGAACCTACTCTTAAATATTTATTTTAAAATGTTGTAAGATTCAGAAGTACTTGCATTATCTTCCTTGTATGATCAGCTAGTACCACAATAATATTGTGTAACAAACTACACCAAATTCAATGGCATATAGCCATAAGCATTTATTCCTTTGCTCATGGATCTATAGATCAACTACAGGCTGGACCCCTCTGGAGTTTTTCCTCAGGCGACAAGTCTACCTAGGACTGGCTTCTCACTGTGAGTTAGGCTGGAGCTCAAGCTAAAGGGGAGTAGCTCCCTGGGGGAAGCTCTTTTCCTGACAGTGGCAGAAATGGCAAGGGGGTGGACCCAACTGCACAAACCTATTTCAGGTCTCTACTATCAGCCCTTTGGCCAAAGCAAGTCATATGGCCAAGTCTAAAGAGACAGCAAAATATATTCCTTCTATGGCAGTGGGGACAGAGGGAATAAATATTTTTAAACAACAATCTAATGCACTACATCCCTTTTGACTAAAAGCCAGCTGCTACCATCGGTATGTTAATGGAGCCAATATAGTGAGAAACCCATGAAACCAAATTAAAGGCCCTTTCTACAAATCTTATGAGAGCATAGATCTGGCCAATATTCTTAAAGGAGAAAAAAATGGATGAGGGCTGGGGGTGTCAATGCAGTGTTGTCATTTAGTCTAATTACAATGAAATAGAAAACAGACACAGAGACACTGCTTTCTAAATCACTGATTCATATTTTGTGGTAATTCAGTCACACCTGCCCTAAATTTGTCATCATGCAATTTCTAGGCAAGTCGATAATGTAAACAAAATGTTTCTTATGCATGCATATGTCTGTGTTAGTAGAGTCGTGGGGTAATGGTGAAAAATACTTGAAAAAATTAATTTTAAGTACTCTAGGAATAAATTACAAATAAATTTTATCCATTCACACAAAGAAAATCCTTCAAGAATTGCTATTAATCAATATTTTAACCTAATTCAAATTACCATGATTACATGAAACTTGTATATAGTTGGTGCTATAATTAAGATTTCACAGTTGCAGATTAGTGATGTTTTACTGTATTGCGTTGTAACATTGAATTTGTGAAGTTAAGGAGAAAATAGATGCTCCTTTGAACTAGATTTACCAGTTGGACATAGATGGGACATTTATGATTTTACTATAACTAGAAATTTCTCAGCATTCAAAAATAACTCAAATAACCTTGCTTATGACTTAATTATGCATAGTCTTTATCATGGTTTCCAAACTCAGGTCCATGAGACCAGAGCTGAGCTGGTTATTTCCGATATATATACACATACACATACATACATGTACATATATACATACATATACATACATACATATACATATTCATTCCTGGGAGAGATTCTGAATTTGTAAATCTAGAGTAGATCCTGGGCATCTAAATTTTCTAATAAGCTACCTAGGTAATTCAGACCTTGAGGTTTTGGTAACACCAAACTCAATATCTGTATGAAGTACATAATAGGATATAATAGTAGAAAGATTAATTAAAGAAGCATACCTATTTTATGAGTTAACGATGCACTCGCCTGTTTCTTTTCAATGATGTCAACATTTATTTCTTGATTATAGGGTATAGCAAATGTGTTCTTATTGGCCATGACTGGGGGGGCATGATTGCTTGGCTGATTGCCATCTGTTATCCTGAAATGGTGATGAAGCTTATTGTTATTAACTTTCCTCATCCAAATGTATTTACAGGTGAGTTTAAATTTTTATTAAAGCATCTTTGCCAATGTGACAATTCACTATTGTCCCTGACACTTTGGATTAAAAACAGCAAAATTTGACTAACAATGTTTTTTAAATTAAATTACTAAAATATGATATTAGCACATGACAGTGTCAAATACGTTGGCATTAAATATCTAAAGAATCTAAGACGTTGTAGCTTCATACTTGTTTGCATAATTTTATTTGTTTTTAGAAAACATTTTACTGCTAACTTGGAGAGAGAGAGGAAAATGCAGTAACATTATTTTGATGGTAATGAATCTTGACAGCCTAGAAATAAATTCTCCTCTTGCCTGACAGCTTTGACGATCAGGAATGGTAGCATTTTTAAAGCAGCAGTTCTCGAATTTTTTGTCTCAGGACTCCTTTATATCAAAAATTGTTAAAGACCCATTGAGCTTTTGTTTATATGGGTTATATCTATAAATATTCATTGTATTATAAATTAAAAATGAAAAAATTATGTATGAATTTAATTTTAAAATAATAACTCCAGTACATGTTAACATATGACATTTTAATGAAAACTAACTACATTTTCCAAAACGAAATCTTAGAATAATGTCATTGTTTTACATATTTGCAAACCTCTTTAATTTTTGGCTTAGTAAAAGATAGCTGGATTCTCAGCTCTGCTTCTGCATTCAATCTGTTGCAATACGTTGATTGAATTGAGGTGTATGAAGAAATCTAGTCTCACATAGATTTGTAATTGGGAAAGGGAAGAGTATTTTAATAGGATTTTCAGATAACTGTGGTTTTCTTCTTTAATACTACACTAAACTCAAAAATTCATGGTTTCCTAAAGTTAGTAAAAAAATAGAATCTGGTGTTGTATTAATGAACTTTTTGCACTCTGCTACATTAAAATCCATTGGTCTCTCAGGCACTTTGAATAGATTTTTTACCCATGTATGATTTTGTATCATCATGCATTGGGAGATATTGGTTGAGTTCTGCAGATCTTCCATAAGTTGACACAATTCATTATATGATATCTAAGAATCACATTCCTTAATATCACCCCTATTTCATCCAAAAAAGCCTTTAAGTATTGCAAAGCTGTCAAGCTCACAATAGTAGACACAAGTTTCCAAAATTCTACTTTTTACTTGAAAGCTTGAATTTTATAATTGGCAACAAATACTATTGATTGTTTTCCCTCAAGTAAAAGGCTCACTCGGTTCATTTCCAAGAGTCTGTCTGCCAAATACCTAGGCCTAAGTGATAGTTTTTCAGTCATCTTTTCAAGTAAAAATAGTATGCCATAAAAAATGCAACTAATTCAACTTATCAACTCAATTGCATAAGTGTTTTTTTTCTCAAGACAACCATTGTATTTGGGTATGCAACAGAACTGCTTTCTGTGTACTATTTTATCACAATGTTTAAAAGACATGGACTCAAATATTGAAATATAATAAAATTAATAATTTTTCCTATTTCATCAAGGACATTCTTAAGTGAAACTGGAATTTAGTTTTATGTATTTATGTATTTATTTGTTTACTGCAAGTGTGTGGTAGTGAAGAATATGACTACTAGTATTGTTTAGTGCTACTGCCTTGATTTGTACTCAGGCAGCAATAGTTTTATCTACCATTGATTTTGTACCATCAGTGCAAATGTTAATCAAATGAGAAAAGCTAATAATGTCTTAGTATTGTTCCGAAATAAATTTGACCATCTGGATCCTTTAAAAGGTTCTTTGGGATTCCCAGGGGTCCACATGGACTATATTTTGAGAATCTCTGCTATAAAGAGGACTCATAAAATCTTAGAGTGATTAAAGACCTGTGATCACTGTCTAGGAATATTTTTATTTGGTTTTGGCAAAAATTATAATTTTGTCCTGTTTAACTACCCTTGTCAAGTTTTCTGAGGTTCAGGTACTGCTATGATCCACAGCAGCTTCTGGAGAACAACATATTTCTGTTTCTTTCTCAAAATTGAGCAGGTGAGGGAGAAAGGGACCACGACTATCTAAGTATTGTATATTATAAGCGTAAAACCTGATTTTATGTGTATGCGTGCGCACGTGTGTGTGTGTGTGTGTGTGTGTGTGTGTGTCTCCAATTCACCTATCTCTGTTGAGGTAATAGGATGAATTCTTAGAATTCAAATACCAAACAGATATATCATATTTCTCAGTTCCATTAGTCAGCAGAAGTCATGGTACATGCTTGATCAATTGATCAGGACCCTAAAGTAAATATTATTTTTGGTGGTGCTACTATGTGGACAAACTATAATTGGTCATTCCAGCAAGAAGATTCTTGGAATATTTCTGGAACTATTTTATCAATAATGGATTCAACCCTAGTCAAGTCAATATGAGGTCTTCAAGCAATATGCCTCTTTAATCATATTGGTATCACTTAATGCAGGGCTGAAAAAAATCTTGTTCAATGATGACTTTACAAAAAGTATAGCATAACAGTATATTCCACTTACCTGAGAATTATAGTTCTAAAAACTTTAACCATGTTAAATATCATTATGAAATTAGAAATAAGAAAAAATTATCTCTATAATGAAAATTAAAAAAAGTATAGTGCACAGTACAAAGCAAGTATGTACATTTAATATGTACGATTTCATTACTTTCCAGTTTAGAGCTTCGGTGTCTTCCCAAAGTACTTGAAATCCTTATCATTTTGGTCATATCTGACCCGGCTTCTGCTTTTCTTTCTGACTCATTTCATGCCATCTCCCCATCTTCATTCACCACACACCAGCCACACTAGCCTTGTTTCTGCTTCTTGAATGTACCAGGCCCAAGATCCACTTTCTATTCCTGGATGCTCTTCCTAGATTTTTGCATGGCTGATTTCTTCTTACTCAGGACTCAGGATACATATCATATATGCAGAGAAGCCTATTCTGACCACCTCTACTAAATAATAGTCCCTCCACACCACCCAACCATCACTCTTAATCACATTACCTTGTTTTGTTTTCTTTATGGTATTATTATTATCAAAATGATCTTTTAAGTATTCGTTATTTATTGCATAAGTTTCTTCTTATTGGGAATCTCTTGTTCATTGCTAAATCCACTCACACACAGTAGATATTCAAATATTCATTGAAAGAATGAATTTTCTAGATATGTGCATGAGTAAATTTACAGAAAATGCTTTAGTTCCTGTTGAGGCCAGATATATAAGGTATTCAAATCATCCTATAGGGAAAATCTTTTAAACATCAGAAAATTACCTCCCTGTGCATCCCAAGGAAAAGTGTTAGGTCACTGATAATGACCTTGGAAGAAAGGCAGTGTTGTTTGGGTTTTCTATTCCTTTCTGAGTCAAGATTTCATAAAGTGGAACTTTCATTTTATTTAAAGTGCTATAATCTTTCTGAAAACTAGAAATAACCATAATAAAATATAAGAACATAGAAATTGTTCCAAAGAGAAATATTCAGAAATTCTTATTTGTGGATTCTTTTACGGGATCATCTCGAAGGTGAAATTGTCTTAAAAAGAATTTCTTTCAATGCTAAGTAATTTATACTCCTTGGATAAGGTCTAACATGGCATTTTAATTTCAGAATATATTTTACGACACCCTGCCCAGCTGTTCAAATCCAGCTATTATTACTTCTTCCAAATACCATGGTTCCCAGAATTTATGTTCTCAATAAATGATTTCAAGGTAAGTCAGACATAGTGATGGGTGTTAACTAGTACTTACTGTGGTGATCATTCTGCAATGTATACTATATCTAATCATTATGCTATACATCTGAAACTAATACTAATGTTATATGTCAATTATACCTCAATTAAAAAAAAAGATTAGTGCCCAAGAGGATAACAAATTAGAAAGTTAAAATATAGACTGAAGCACTAAAAAGGAATTGGTCCTGCTTATGTTGTTTTGATTTAAATAATCATTTATTACATATCTGCTATGTGCTGTGCACTGTTAGACATTTCCTCCTGAACAAACAAAAAAAAAGTAAATATTTTAAATTAAAGTCCATCCTAAAGAAAGAAAAATAGACAAATGCTAAGATCTAATAAATGCTTCTAAGGCCTCATCTATAGGCTTACTTATTTTTAAAGTCTCTGTTGTATATTTGAGCACCTGGCTGTTTTTTTGTTCGTTTTGGGGGGGTTTTTTGTTTTTGTTTTTGTTTTTGTTTTGAGAGCCTGTGCCCCTACAAGCATGTTCTCTTTTTAGAGAACATCCCATGAGGAGATGAGGGACTATGAAAGCCAGGTGAGAGAGTTTGACAGCAGCAGAAGGGGAAGCCCTTGGAGGTAAACAAAACCCTAAAACAAAGTAAGTATGCAGGTATTGGTGTACCAAATACACTGACACCAGGAGTCCTATGTAGTGTCTATTTCTTGGAAGTTTATTGAATGCTTCTTGTATGTCCCACATGATGTTTTTTAGACAGGTTTAAAAAAGACATAATATTTTTTTGCCTGGAAATTCTTCTGCGTATATGTCTGACTTTTAAGGACTTTTTTTTTCACATGACCCCAATGCCATTATCAAACCTACCCAAAAGAACAACAATTCCCTAATACCTTTTAATACACATTTAAATTTCCTTACTATCTCAATTATTTTTATACACTTCATTTGTTTGAATCAGGAACTAAATAAGGTCCACACATCGTATTTGGTTGTTATGGCTTCTGAAATTATAATTGTTTCTTTTCTTTTTTTATTTTGAAAACAAAACAAAAACCCCAGAGGTTAGACTCTATTTAAGGTCTTACTTCAATTTTAAATTTTAGTGTACTAGATGTTTCCTGTGTGCTTTATCGCCTCAGTCATTGTCTATAGGACTCTGAAAAGCCATAGGAATATGCGGGCATAGACTTAAGGGACAGGCTTATCTCCAACGTTATGGAAAAGGATTGTGTCTCATGGGGTAGAACCTTATGCTCCCCTGTGCCACCTGGACAGAGCTCAAAAGAGTGACCTCCCTGGGGTATCTACGTTGGATTTCTTTTTTTTTTTAACATCATTTTGTTATTATTATTATTGAAATTATTTGGTGCTTTGTCCTGAGGAATAATATACATTTGAATTTGACTAATTGCTTCATCATAGTGTTATTTAACTTGCTCTGCTAACCCTTGCTTTTCCTACTTCATACATGCTACTGAATAGAAGCTTGATTAGATTGAGCTTTAATTTGACAAGAATTCTTTATAGGTGGTATTGTGCACTTCCTAATGTACTACATCAAGGAAGCACATGATGCCTAGTTGTCTCAGTTTTAATAATGCTAACACTTACCAGTGGGCTCACAAGTTGTCAGCCTATCCAAAATTTCCTAACAACCTTTCACCATATAATTTTAGCATATCTTGATCATCATTGCCCAGGGTGGGCAAAATTATTTCTTTCGAACTCTGTCATTCTTTCTGCTTTTATTACCTGGAATTCTTCTATAAGGAAGAATTTTCCACATGTACTATTTGGTTATTCTAAAATACAGTTCACACAAGAATGGCAGGATATACTTCTTTTTTTTTTCTTCATTAAAAAACTTCCCAGAATAATGAATTTGGTGCCTTAGATATTGCCCATGATGACCAATGAGAGGATGTCAATGAACACTGACCATCATTCTCTTTTGAAAGCCAAAGATTTAATTTATTATTAGGTAACCGAAAAGTTTTAATTATGCCCTTTTCACTTGTATTAGGCTTTGAAACATCTGTTTACCAGTCACAGCACTGGCATTGGAAGAAAAGGATGTCAATTAACAGCAGAAGATCTTGAGGCTTATATTTATATATTTTCCCAGCCTGGAGCATTAAGTGGTCCAATTAACCATTACCGAAATATCTTCAGGTCAGTATAACGTTTTTATTTTGGTTTCAGTTAAATAAGATGTTAATTCCCTAAAGAGCCAATACTCTATTTTTAAGTTCACCACTTACCGAACTCAAATAAAATATTTTGATTTAGTAAGTTGAATAATCTTTTTTTATGGAAAATTTCAAACATATGAAAAAGTAGAATAGTGTAATGGATCCTATTATAGTCTTATCCATAACTCTATTCACTTTTATCTTTCCCTTTAGATTATTTGAATACATATATATCTTTAGCTATATTTTTAACAATCATTTATTCATTCAAGAAATAGTTATTAAGTACTTTTTGTGTTCTAGGCTATGCCAACACTCAGACTACAGTAATGAGTAGAACTAGACAAGTAGACTATAGTAATGATCTCACAAAACTTATAGTCAAGTGGGAAAAACAGATATCAAGCAAACAGTCACAGTAATAAATATTCACAGTAATGAAAACATAGTTAAAAACTAACATAAAGATTTTGAAAGAAAGGGATGAGAACTGAAGATATGACATTTAAACAAAGAAATAAAGAATGAGTTAAGTAGTGACCAGACAAAGTAGGGGATAGGGGTATTGGCATTCCAGAAAAAGGAAACAGCATGTACCAAAGCTTTGTGGGGAGATGGAGGGTTGTAGTTCTAAGTAACACAATGAGAGCCAATGTGGTCAGCATATAGAATGTTAGAAAGGGAAGAAGAGAATAGAATGAAAATGGGACTGAGAGGTAGGCAGCATTGGTAATACAAAGCCAGGTAGACCATATTAAGGACTTAAGAGCCGTGAATGTGAAGCCAATGAATGAGAGTTTCAAGCAGAAAAGATAAATGATCCAATTTGTATTTGGATAAATTCACTCATTGTGGAGAATGTAGTGGAGAAAATGAATGTTTGGACAGAAAATATATTGGATTTAGTCACTATTAAGGCATTTTAAATAAAACAAAATCTCTCAAACTCTTTGATTATGGAATCCAAGGGAAATTATGAGGTTATATGAATGAGGGGAGAAGAGATAAATCCAACCTTCTTTTTGTACTAACAACAAGATATATATCTGTATCTATATCTATATCTAGATGTAGATAGATCTTTGGTTTAAAAATGTTAATTTAAAAGGCATTTATAGGTAATTATTTAGCAAGGCAATGATTAGAAAGGCGGATATTATAGAAGCTACAGGTTACATTTTATAGGATATAGCAACATTGTCTGAAGTCCATGTTCTGTTGTTTGTTTTTTACAAAGAACATTTGTAAAGACACTTGTTATAAAAGAAAATAGAATGTCACATTTTCACACAAGTCTAAATTTTGGATGGGAGACAAGATGATAGTTTTAAAATAGTTTTAAAATGATAGTTTTAAAATATCTTCAACGTATTCCTTTGTCAGAGCCCGTATTCTTTACTCCTTCCAATAAATTTTGATAATCCATAATGCGATTTCAATCAAAACCATAAAGTTTTTCATGGAACTTGACAAAGTGATTCTGAAATTTGTATAAGAGAGCATAAGGCTGAGAATGTTTAAGGTATTTTAAAGAAAAGAGTAGGACTAACTCTATTAGAAATTAAGACTTATAATGAAGCTATAAAATAAATAAATACAGTGTTGATTCTGGGATCAACAAATTGACTAATGGAACAGAGAAGAAAGCCCCAAAATGGAACCACATATATGGGAACTTGAAATAACAGCATTTCAAACCAGTGGTGAGATCTCCATCTTCTACCAAACAAAAAATAAACCTTACAGAAATAAAAAACCTAAATATGATGAGCAAAACTTAAAAATGTGTAGATGATGATATAAAACATTTATGACCTCAGGTAGGAAAGATTTCTTTAATAAGACATAAATAGCTCAAATTATGAAGGAGACTGATGAATGTGACTACATTAAAATAAAAAATCATCTATTATAAAATGATAACATCAGGGAGAAGTTTTTTGCAAAACACGATTAATCATGAATTAATAATATCCAGAGATATTATAAAGAATGCCTCCAAATCAACAAGAAAAAGGTAGCCTAATTGAAAAATGGGTAAAGGATAATAAAGGCAATTCACAGAATAGGAATCTAATGGCTGATAACATGGAAGAGCAGCTCAACCTTACTAGTAGTCAGATGTAAAACATGAGTTTTACTGCTTGTGATAGAGACCTAAAATAACAGTGGCATATATAAAAGATAGAAGTTTATTTCTCTCACAAGTAAAAGTCTAGGTTGGTATGGTGGCTCTGCTCCATGAAATCATCAAAGTTGAATGACATCACTCTTTGGTCAGAGATGTAGTCACTTTCTCTTTTGTTATTCTGCTGTCCCTAGGATGTTGCCCTTGTCTGTGTAGTCCAGGATGGTTTACCACCACATCTACATTTCAGTCAGTGGAAAGTGGAAAATGGGAAGGGGGTGTGCATACTGGGCAAAACTTAGAAGTTGTATACATTATTTCTCATAAACCATATATCTTCACCTTGCTGCAAGAAGCCTGGCAAATATAGTCAGTCATTATTCTGGTTGGCCATTTGTCCAGCTAAAAGTTGGATTTTCTATCACTATAGTGGAAGGCAAGAAGTTTTGGGGAGCAGTCTCTACCACATCACGTAAATGAAGCATATTTCACACTCATATGATTGGAAAAAAATTAAACTTTTGAAAACAAGTGTTAGCAATAATGTGGAGCAAAGTGAACTCTTATGTCCTGCTTGTGGACCATACAATCAGTTTGGAAAACATCTTGACAATAGGTTGAAGATGTGCATACTCTCTGAGCAAGCAACTCTGTTTCCGGGGTATACTGTAAGGAAACTCTTCCACATGTACACAAGTGGACGTGTACAGGAAAGAGTTTAATATTATTTGAATTCGAAATATTGGAAAAATGTAAACGTCCCTTAACAGGAGGATGGATCAGTTGTAGTATAGTCACATGGTAGAATTTTACACAAGAGTGAAAATGAATGAAGTAGAACTACATGTATCATCAATGGATAAATCTTAAAAATATAATGTTAAATCATGAAAGCAAGTTGTGGAAGGATAGGTGCACCATGATACTATTTAATAATGTTTATAAAATGTAAAACACCTCTCTATATTGTCTATCAAAATGTATGTACAGTATTTGGGGGATTTGACAAATAGCACCCCTTTTTCCTGCCCAATTTCTGAACCAGTTGAGAAATCAAACAAGAGTCAGCTGATGAAAACTAAAATATTATCTTCATTACTGATAAAGGATAGATTGAAGGCTGTAGCTTAATATGAAAACTGAAATGGTCTTGCTAACCCGTACTGCTTGTGTAGCATTTAGAGCAGTTCACCTGTAGAAAAGTCTGCAGAAGAAATTCGACCTCCACCACCCCTCGATCACTGCCTCCCACCAATCAGGTAGACAGTAGTGGAGAGACACTAAATCTCTTACACTCAGGATATATTATTCGATATACCCACCTAGCCCAGAACCCTGAACCAAGAAATGTCACATACCAGGGTGGGGCAAAGATCCAGAAGGATTTAAGGAAAATCTGTCCTTAAGGAAACCAGACAAGTGAGGTATCTTAACACATATAAGTGCTTACTATTAGGTAGTGGTTCTTCGCTCTAGCTTGCATCAGAATCACCTGGAGGGCTTGTTGAAACACAGATGGCTGGACTCCACCCCTAGAGTTTCTGATTCAGCCCATCTGGGATGGGGACCAAGAATTAGCATTTCACAGTTGATGCTGATGCTGCTAGTCTGGTGACCAAACTTTGAGAACCACTGCTTTAGGGTGAGATGAAGAAATGGTTTCAAGGAAAGGTAAGTAGAAAGATGTAATTATATTCTCAGTGTTTTATTTCTTGAGCTGAATGGTAGGTATGTGAGTGTTATTATTTTCTGCACTATCTTTTTAATCAAAGTAATGAAATATTTCCACATACAAAAGAAATGATGGAGTATATAACATTCTGGAAAATGTTGCCTTAATATTTACAAATCACCTGATTTCTCAGTTTGGAAGAGTAACATGTAAATTCAGACTAATTTGAAATTGGTATGTTAAAATACGTGTTGATAGGTTAAATGATTAACAATATACAGTAAAAATTGTTACTACTTGTTATCATTTTTTAGATCTTTCGAGTTGTTTCTATACTTACTAAAATTAATCATTTAATCAGAAATATTTGACGTAGTGTTTCCCAGTAAGTTCTTTAGCTTAACATACTAAAACCTACTCTCTTAAAACATTGAATGTTTTATTTTGTTTTATTTTATTATTTATTTGTTTTTACTGAGGTATAATTGAATATAACATTAGTTTTTGGTGTACAACATAATGATTTGATGTTTCTATATATCGCAAAATGATCACAATATAGTTAACATCAATCACCATAGTTATAAAATTTTTTTTGTGATGAGAACTTTTAAGATCTTACTCTCTTAGCAACTTTCAAATATGCAATATAGTGCTATTAACTGTAGTCACCATGCTGTACATCACATCCCCATGACTTATTTGTTTTATAACTGAAAATTTATAACTCTTTGGTTAACTGTAGTCACCATGCTGTACATACTTTGTTTTACATGTAACTTATATTTCATGTGAAATTAAGCCATTTGAAACCTCAGGATGAGAGAATAAGCTTTTCTTTTAGTTTTCTGGATACTCCTCCCTTTTATTCCCAATTTGATCTGGTGAAGAATTTGTTTTTCTTTGCTTTTTGACTAGTAGCCTTTGTAAACTCCCCTTACCTTATTGATTCAATTATTATATGATCTAATATTGTTAAGTATGCAGATAACTGATAGAAAATGAAATGTTTTACTTTTGAACATTTTATGAGTTCTAGAATTTAAGTGGCTTGCAAGTTTGTATAGCAATCCATGTATTAATAATTAAGTATAGAATACATTTTCTCGGTTTGGCCATTCACAAAACTTTTTTAGGAGCATTACAACCAAATGATGGCCACTTGTGTAGGAGTCAAAAGTTAAGTCCCTGGTGGACATATGTCATATCTTGCACATCCAGCAGCATCTGTCAACCCTGGGTAGTCAAACTTTTTGATAACTAGTAAAAATGTAAGTCAGAGCTGGAGAGTGTCTAGTTAGATGTTTATTCTCATTCTTATCAACAGAAGTGTAATTAGTACCATCTGACCTTTCTGGAAAACAGTGTGGCACAAGGCATCAAAAGCTTTAAAAATATTTATAATCGCTACCTCAGAAATTCTACTTTCAGGGCTCTACTCCAAAAAATTATTTAAATGCCAACAAAAGTTTGGGTACAAAATGCTCATTATAACATCACTTAAAACAAAGAGAATATTTTAAATGATGCTATGATCTAAATATTCTATTATAAGAAATAGTCAAGCTATTTATGACTTATTATGCCATAATATAGTATCTTTTACAATCATTTAAAAAACTTTATTAAATGAGAATGTTCTTAAGTTATGATTTAATACGAGATTTGTATATGTATACCACGTATTATTTATTGCATAGTATTTATAGTATAGTTTCAAATAAATGCATAGAAAAATTACCAAAAAGTTATCTTTTAATGATGGAATTATGCATGATTTTATTCTTCATACTTTTCTGTATATAAGGAAATATACAATAAAACTTTGCTTTAAAAAGAATCTTCTTGCAAAATAAATATGCTATCATATAATATTAAAGGTCAGTCTATATATATTTTGACTTTCCAGTTCCAATTTTCACATATAATGCATTAGGTTATCTAACAAACAATTGAAAATATATTTAAACAGTGTTACTACTGTTTAAAATTCTCTTCACACCATTCAGAAATCCTAGTATTCTCTTAAAGCAAATTATTCCTCATAGTGATGAATTTCATATTTAATTTATAGCCTTTCTTCTCAATTTTGCTAGCCTCATCTAATTAAAAATTTTATTGGGCTCTTTCTTAAATATCCTTTAAAATTTTTTATTGTATAGATTGCCTAAAGTAGTATTTCCTAAACATTTTTCATCATCATCTTCCTAAGTAGCCTTTGTAGACATTTCTTCCCTTTATTTATGGTTTACATAAATAAATAGTAAGATTTTTTTCACTCTCCCAAGAACCAGTTTTCACCCCTTTGGTGGCAATTTCGCCCCCCTTGAGAATGTGAAACCTAAAGGAACATTATGGAAAAATGTTATTTTAACTTTTAAAATGAGTCTCAAACCCATGTGTTTTGTTTTTATAGCTGCCTGCCTCTCAAACATCACATGGTGACCACTCCAACATTACTACTGTGGGGAGAGAAAGATGCATTTATGGAGGTTGAGATGGCTGAAGTCACAAAGATTTATGTTAAAAACTATTTCAGGCTAACTATTTTGTCAGAAGCCAGTCATTGGCTTCAGCAAGAGCAACCTAACATAGTGAACAAATTGATATGGACATTTCTAAAAGAAGAAACAAGAAAAAAAGATTGACTTTTCTGTATCTTCTATGAGAGATCTGTCATAAAATCTCTAAATAATTTTTAAAAATTGTTCATCAACTTCTTTAAGCTTCATTAGGGAAAAAATTACTTTAACATGCTTTATCATAAATATCAAATGGTACTGAATAATATCTGAGAATGTGTAAACTTGTAATATAATGTTCATTTTCTTCTGCTGTCTTTTACTCAGAAAAACATCTGCCTTAAAATGTATACACTTGTACAAAAAGGAAGTTGTGAAAAGTGGCTCAGTTTTGGTTTCTTGCATTCTTTACCCTGTTAACATATGGTGCCTTTTATATATGTGTATTAAAGATTAGCCATATTGAAAGGCAAACCCGCAATGATATAAATTTTCATTGTATTGTTCAAAAGTTCCTTTTACTATTTTTAACAATTAAAAATTCTATTATCAAATCTCTTGGATTTATGGTATATTTATTAGTTTGAAGGCAAATATGACTAGATGAATATGCATTCTTAAAATAGGCCATAAATACTACTTATACTGGGAAGATTAACAAGAGATGATGTGAAGATTCTCATATATACATATATATTTATTAAACATTGCAAAGTATGGAAGCATGGAAACACATCTATTAAATTACTTGCCTTAATCTTTAGTGAAACTGGTAAGAGATTTAGAAAAAGGATCAAAATGTCCTTTTGCCCCATTCAATGCAACAAGAATTGAATACTGTACTTCTTATGCACACTAGAATCTAAGCTCCACAGGGCAGAGGTTTTTTATTGTTTTATTAACTGACATATATCCAGCATCTAAAATTAGGGCCTGGCTCATTGTAGGAACTCAAATATTCTCTTAATGAACAAATAATATATCTGACACACTGCTAGGCACTGTGGGGAAAATATAGAAGAGAGATGACATGGTGATATGGAACTTTCCTTTAAAAAGCATACATAGAATGCAGTTCAATTAAACAGGTTTAAGAATAGTAATGAAGATACAAATAAGAGTGAGAAGAGTTAAAGAACAGAGAACGATAACAGCACAAGGGACTACTCATTCTCTTGGGTTGCTTTCCTAGGCAAGGGAGACAACCAGTAAATTGCCAAATCATAGCTCCTTAGAAACTGCAACTGTGTTCCCAAATAAGACAAAGTTGGTGAAAGGAATGTTTCTGTCACCAAGCATAGTTCTAACAGTGACAGAAGTGGAATGTCCCTAAGAATTTTCATCATTGTATCCTAGCAACTTGTATTTACTAATAAAAGCCCAATTTTTTATATACATTATCCTTGTGTCTCATAACAACATTGAAAAGTAGAGAGTATCACCAATTTACAGATGTAAAAATGAGGTTGGCCAAGGACCACAGTATAAGTGTTGGAATCAGGATCTGGCTAGATCTATCTGGCTATAAAGCCCATAATCTTTCCACTTAGATCACTTTCTGTTGTTAACAGGCTCTGGTATCCACACTGCTCTTCCTATTTATTGGTAACCTGGTATGCTCCAATAAATAGAAATATCTCTTAGAAATCTTTAACTTTTAATTCTGAGAAAAGGAATTTAAATTAGCCATTAGCAAACAGGAATAGTCTATATTAGCATCGTCAGAGTTGCAAATGCTATAAAGTATAGAAGAGAGCCTGGTTCACATCAACTTTGATTATGCTTCCCTCTTGATCATTTCCACTGGGCAGCAACAAAGAGAAGGGACAGAACTTTATTGACTGCGTGCTGATATAATAAAGTAATCCTGACTTATTTTAATTAAACTTGTTACTGAGAAAGGTGATTTTAAGGTTTGTGGTTGTTACTTATGTCAGTTTGGAATGCTGACTGGTTCAGGTGGACAAATGTTAAGAATATGAATCAAATGAGCCATGGCTAATTCTGGCCTATGAAATGGATATATTCTAATTTTCAATGGATGTGGAAGAGTGTAACAGATATAAAGCTTCAAGGGTGCCATCATAAAAAGATATTACCGTCTCTGTAAAAATCAGTTTGTACAGAGAGAACTTGACTTAACAGCTGCCAAAAGCATCTCACAGTAACTACACTATGCTAGTAGTGGCATTTAAATTAAAATGTTGTAATTAATATTCATCGATTTAAATTAATATATCCCTACTAGGTAGATAATATATGCTTAATATAAACATCAGAAATTGTTACGTGAAAATGATTTATTAAGCGTATCTGTCCAAAGGAAGACATTTACACACAAAAGCAAAAAATTATACTGTTGATATGATTCTAATTCTCCTATTACATCATTTACCATTTAAAACTTTTTATTTAATACATCATTTCCTATTAACCCACAATTGCCTCTAAGAATTCTCATTATGTGCCAACAGAAGGAACACTTGAATATGGGGAAGGGATGCGTTCTTGGGGCTGCCCCTAGATCCAAACTATCTGAATCCTGAGACTGTTGAAAAGTCGGCCTTATGGCTCAGCAGTCATCGGACTGGGAGGTGGAGGTCTGGGAGTCCGCCCTCAGCCTAGGAAGGAGGAAGTCCCTGTACCCGCCAGCAGTGGCCAACCCTTTCGTGCAGCAGACGAACATCAGCGCGTGGCGCTGGGCCTCCATCATCCTCGCGGGGTCTGTGCTGGTGCCGGTGCGGGTGACGTGCATTGCCTTCCTCCTTATCTTCCTCTGGCCGATGGCCGCACTTTCCGCTATAGGCGGTTCTGCTCATCCAGCCAAACCCGCCACGAGTTGGAGGAGAAAACTGGCAAAACCGGCTCTCAAATTCTTGTATCAGGCAATATTCTTTTTAGCAGGGTTCCTTGTTAAAGTGAAAGGGAAAAAGGCAACCCGAGAAGAGGCCCCCATCTTTGTCACAGCACCGCACTCCACTTTCTTTGACGCAATCGCCTGTGTTGTGGCAGGGTTACCCTCCGTAGTCTCTGCAAGTAAAAACGCACATATCCCAGTGGCTGGAAAATTCCTACTGTCAACACAGCCGGTGCTTGTTACCCGAGAGGACCCCAATTCCAGGAAGATAACCCGGGAAGAAATTCTGAAGCGAGTGACATCCAAAAGGAAGTGGCCACAGATCCTGATTTTCCCGGAAGGAGTGTGTACCAATCGCACGTGTCTGATCACTTTTAAACTAGGGGCCTTTTCTCCAGGTGTTCCTGTGCAGCCAGTGCTACTCAGGTACCCAAATGCCCTGGACACAGTGACCTGGACCTGGCAGGGGTTTACAGGCTTCCAAGCTTGTATGTTGACCCTGAGTCAACTCTTCACCAGAGTAGAAGTTGAGTTTATGCCTGTTTACATCCCAAATGACGAAGAAAAGAAAAACCCCATCCTTTTTGCCAATACAGTGAGGATCAACATGGCAAATGCTCTGGGGTTGCCTGTGACAGACCACACTTATGAAGACTGCAGATTGATGATTACTGCAGGTAACCTTCGACTACCCATGGAAACTGGCTTGGTGGAATTTACAAAAATTAGCAAGAAATTAAAGTTAGACTGGGATAATATTCATCAGCATTTGGATGAATATGCTGCAATTGCAGTTGCCTCAAAAGGAGGGAAGATAGGAATTGAAGAATTTGCAAATTATTTAAAACTCCCAATTTCAGAGCCCTTGAGACAAATTTTTGCCCTTTTTGACAGGAATAATGATGGCAACATAGACTTCAGAGAGTATGTGATAGGTCTGACTGTCCTATGTAATCCTGCCAACACTAAAAAGATTCTGCAGATGTCATTTAAGCTTTTTGATCTTGATAAGGATGGTTTCATAACAAAACAGGAGTTAGCTACTGTACTTCAGGCGGCTTTTGGAGTGCCAGATCTTGATGTTTCCAGACTCTTTCGGGAAATAGCTGGACAGAAATCAGAGTACATTTCATACAAGAAATTTAAGAAATTTGCCTTGAAGCATCCAGAATATGCCAAGTTATTTCATTCATTCTTAGACCTACAGGCAGCCTATATCTATGCATTACCAAAAGTGCAGGTTTAATCACTGTATTCAGATGTTAAAGACAGCCCTGAAAATGGTGAAAATATCTTCCTGGGAGAAACTATGATTGAAATAAAAATTATTCTTTGAGGAAAATCACAACTGTTTTTATTCTAGGTGACCTGGACACTTAAGTATGATATTTAAAATGTGCTTGAAGAATATACATTTCAATCAGATTTTATAGTATCTATTTTTTTTTTATTTAAAATAATGTTTGTTTCAATGTAACCTAATGGTAGAAAAATAAGAGATCTAGTCATAAACCTTGTTCACCCAGCATGGTTCCAGTCAGTGCCTTTATTCTGCTAAAATAAGACCAGAAGAACCTAATAGCCCATCACCTCTCCCTCATTTTTGCTGAGAAAATACCTCATTAAGAGCTCCACTAGCAATAAATAAATTATAATTTTTATTCTCTATAAAAAGGATTGGCTGGATAAATGCCTCTTTAGTCTTTCCCAAAGTAGCCCAAATGTTATTTTACAAGACAAAAATAAACAAGAAGAAGATATAGTATTGGGAATACCACTGAAACAGTTATACATGGTATGGCTGCCCTTTGTTATTATTTTTAGGTATGAGAGTGATTATTTAGAATGAAAAATCACAACAGATTACAATTTCTGGTTATAAATATAGGAATTCTGACAAATTCTATTTTGTATGATTCTCAAAAAAGGGAAAAATTTATGTTCATAAATGCACATTATGCATTACTGAGAATATTCTTTTCATCCCAACTACACACCAATGAGAACTGAAGCCTCTACTTACTGTTGTGTACCTCCTTCGCTATCCATATACTTCCAGCACCCTTTGCTATAAGACAGCTTCACATAGTGATGTGACCTTGGGCTCTATCCCTTCATGTCACCATGCAGGATGAATCAGTGAAGTATTCCTGGAAGCTATTTCTACACCAGGACAGGGAGCAACCACCTATCTAAATGTGGAAGTGATTGTGAACCAATAAATATGCACTGCTACCCAAACTACTGTATCCCCAACATGTTTCATTGTGGCTAAATCCCAAAAATGCCTGATACCAGTGTTACTAGATATGAGGGGACATTTGACTATGGGGAAAGAAAGTCGATCATTTGTGGACAGAATGTCTTACTTTTGCAAACTTTACAAAAACATACCCAAGTAGACACATTCTAGGGACCCTACTAGAGGCTTAGAATGGGGTTGTGCAGGTGGGGCCCCAAAGTTTAAACTTTATTAGTTAGCTTCCTGGTATTTTGAGCAGAAATGAAAAGAGATGAATGGGAGAAAGGTGAGCAGATGTGGAAAGCTTAAAGAAAGAGAAAGAAAAAGTCAAATATTGTTTTGAGATCATTTCTATGTAGTTCTCACTTGAGAAAAAGAGATGGATAAGGGAAATTTCCTAATCCCCACTGTCTTAGTCCATTTGGGCTGCTATGACAAAAATACCATAGATTGGGTGGTTTAAACAACCAACATTTATTTCTCACTGTTCTGGAGGCTGGGAAGTTTAAGACCAAAGCACTAGCGGATTTGGTCTCTGATGAGAGCCTGCTTCCTGGTGTATAGATGGCTATCTTCTCGCCCTGTCCTCAGCTGGTAAAAAGAGGAAGAGAGCTCTCTGGAGTCTTTTCTAGGGGCACTAATACCATTCATGAGGGCTCCATCCTCATGACCTGATCATCTCTCAAAGGTCCCATCTCCAAATATCATCACATGGGGGATTAGGTTTCCACATATGAATTTTGGGAGAACACAACTATTCAGTCTATAGCATTCACCCAGCGTGATGTTCCACAATAATAATGTATACACATGTAATTCAAATACAATGATTTTTAAGACGTATTAGAAAATAGTCATGTAAATAAGAAATTTTCACTTAAAAGTAGCCGTCAAGGTATATCTTTATTCAAACAATGGTACTATTACTCAAATATGTGCTTAGCTTTAAAATTGTTTCTAATAAGATAAAGAGCTACATAAAAAATCAAGGCCATTACTTTATTATCCTCTATCTTTTAATCTCAAAATGCTCAACAGTTTTATTAAAACTCTTTAATACATAACACTTAAAAATCTTTTTATTATAAAATAAATAGATAAAATCACAAGAAATAAATCTGGAGCCAATTATTATATAAGTATATATTATATATTAAATACGTATAAACTTTTTAAGAGGAACATTCTTGCAACCAACACTGATCAAGACATAAAACTTATCCAGACACCCTACAAGACCTTGTATGTCCCCAAACATAATTACAACCTCCTCCTTCCTCCCAAAATTAATCTACTTTCTTGACTTTATTTTCACTTCCTGTGTTTCTTTGCATTTTTATCCTTATGTGTAAATTGGGCTCACAGCAGTACCTACCTTAATGGTGGTTGTGCAGTTAATCCATATAAAGCAGATGGAGTAATTTTCTCATCTAATAAGAACTCAATAAATATTAACTATTATATTACCTCTGACGCTCTTATTTTTTACAAGAATAATTAAGAATCAATTATCCAGTTACATTTCTCAGAATTAGATGTCTGAATAATTGGAAAGGGCATTATTTGGAGAAATAGCTAGTTCCGGGCCAGTCTTATAGTTCGAGGTCCATATACTTGCCAAGCAACTCATTCTTTACCGTGTGCAGAGCTTCTGAGTGAAGCACAACAATTGAGCTTTCCTCCCTTGGATTAAGCATTTAAAAAAAAAAAAATTATAAGATTCCACTCCAAGCTATTTTCTTCAGGCTAAAATATCCATAATTCTATAATTCATCAATTACCTACTTCCGTGCACAAAGGCTCTGCCGCTACAACTTTATTTCCTCTTTTCCATCATAAATTTTATGGCTTTATATGCAAAGCACTGTAATATAATCTAGCATGTCTCAGCTAAAGACCAAGAGCAGTCATATGCACCACTCTAGACGCTGTATACACACCCTTTGCAGAAGACTCTGGAGTGTTGTGACTCCCGCTAATTTTATAAAGTTCTCTTTCGCCACCTCAATTTTTTTTCACCCCCAATTTTTCTTGCCCACAGTAATTAAGGGAGTGCGACTTGCCCGCAGGAATGGTCTTGTGAAACCTGTCTTTTCTTGGCAAAAAAAGTACTGACATCCCAGGAAGACACACCAGTGTAGAAAGTCTGCACAGGTTGATTTGAACTGGGCCTCGATAAAACACCAACTAAAATATATGGTTAGCACCACCCGGAAAGAAAAGAGGAGCAGGAAGGACTGGTTAGTCTCGGGGGACAGTTCGCCCCAACGCAACGAGGGGCGGGGTACAGACCAGCAGAGGTAAACAGAGCCTACTACGCCTGCGCAAAGCCTCGTCGGGTCACGTGCCGGTACGGCCCCAGTCTCCCGGGTTCCCCAGACTGCGGTCGGGCTGCTGTAAGGGACCGTCTACAAACTGACGAGAGGCGTCAACCTTTTCCCTTAGGGGGCGGATTCCGGTAGGAGCCGAACCTTCGATCGGAAACGCCCCTTTCTTCGCGAGGCGGGGAGTGAGACCGTGTGCTGGGCCTGCTGGGTTCCGCCAGTACCTTTGTGGGACATGGCCCGCTGTGGGGAGGGTAGCGCGACCCCCGTTGTACTTCTAGGGTCCCCTGGAGTTTGCAGTAAGGGCTTGCAAAGGAAAGGGCCTTGCGAGCGGCGCCGGCTGAAGGCGATGGTGTCGGAGCAGCTCAGCCAGGATCTGCTCAGGTAGGAGGAGGCGGGAACGCTGGCTGCTTCAGTTCTTAAGGCGCCCACCTTCGCTGCAGAAACTGTGGTCCTTCTCGGTCCCTTCGTTCCACTCCACCATGTTCTCGTCTCAGGCTACTGCGGGACGTTTACCCGTCTCCTCACCACGTAGCGGGTTCGCTCTTTCTAAGCAACCAATCCGAGCACATGGGTGACCAAGTACCAGATTCAAAAAGAAAACCAAAATTAGAGTATTTATGTGCAGCACCAGTTCATGCCAAAAAACACGGATAGGCTTAGTTCTTTGAAAGACGTGTCTCTAAGGTCGGGTGCTTCCAGGGTTCATGAACCTGAAACGTACACAATTTTTTGTAAGCTTAAACAATTTTTTGTAAGCTTAAACAATTTTAAGGAAAATGATAAAGTTAGGGAGAAAAAAATTATTTAGGATGAGGAAAATAGAATGAATTATTGGAGCCTTGGAGGTCTCTTTCTTCTGAGCTCTCTTTAAACAATTTACCAGAGATGCTTACATAGAAATACCTCCTTGATTGCCAACTGGCTTTCCCTCTTCACCCAGAACACTCTACATCTCCCAGCAACTCCCAGTTCCCATGAAGACCCAAGCAAATGGAGGGTTGTTGTGAAGCTTAACCCAGGCTATGGTAATCCAGCTAACATCATTTCTGTTTACAAAGAAAATTAAGCTTAGAAATATTCCCAAATTTTTATTTCTACCCAAACATTGATTCTTGAACTTTAGTGTGCATCAGAATCACGTGGAGGGCTTCTTAAAACTTAGATTTACTGGGTCCCATACCATTGTTCTGATTCAGTTGGTCTGGGATGGGTCCTGAGATTTTCGACTTTCTAACAAGGTCCAAATCAGTGATGCAGATGCTGCTGGCCTAGGTCGCACTTTCAGAACTACTGAACTGGCATAAACACACTAATATCTAACAGTTGTGCAGCTTTCTACATTTAAAAAATATTTCCTGTCGCTGACACTTATAAAGCTCTGGCAGCTATAAACAACTTTGTAAAGTGAAAATATTTCTTTTTAATTTGGGCCTGTCTACCAGAGATACTTCGTCTCCACTGGTGGGGGATGAATGTAAAAGATGGAAAAAATAAGACTGAAGTTGTTCTGTTTTTAGGGTGAATGAACATTTAAGGATGAGGTGCTTAATTCAGTGACTTAATTCTTTTGGCTGTATTGTGAGCATTAAAGTGTCATTAATTTAAGGAAGGTAAAACATCTAATTTATGTAGAGAAAATGAGGTTTAAAATATAGCAGATGAACAGTTAATCCTCAT